AACCGTCAAACAAGTAAATTATCGATACCTGCTGTATGAACTTTATTTAAATTATTCTTTTGGTGACCACGATGACGAGTACTGCACAAAAGATAACTAAACGAGGTCCAAACAGGTTTTACACGATACAAATCTAAAGTTACTTTACTCTCTAACAACTGACCACGATAACGAGTACTAGATGTTTGAGAGTGAGATATCTTTAACCTAGGCAAAGTCTTACTCTTTCTCGACTGACCACGATAACGAGTACTGGACAAGAAAGTAAGTATTACAGTGTCTTACTATCTTTTTCAAAAGTGTTTACACACAAGATAAAATACTCTAAAATAGTTGTAAAGAAAAACAGTAACACTTGGTTAAAAGAATTAAATATAATATATAAAAGAATATCAAAAAACAAATAATTAAAGGAAACGTCAAATACTGCTTGTTAGCCACGACAATGCGTGAACCAAAAACTGAACAGCCCCGCTCCCGTCACAGACGTCGCCTTATGTAGTCGTAGCAATTTTGCTGATTCGGCTTGATTAAATTTTGCATCACTGTTTTGATTTTTATAATTTTATTATGTATATGTACAACAATAGTTTTTGGATCCAAACAAAAACAAATTTACATATAAATTTGATGTAAAATTCTTATTTTTTACAGTTTAGGTATTTATTAAATATTAATAATAATAAATTATCCCTAAAACATTCTGTAATCTGTATAAAAGTATATTTTGTGTCTTAAATATTTAGAGGGTTTTAACTTAAAATTATTTATTTGGGGGGGGGGGGGGCTAAGTTCCCGTAAGCCCCCCCCCGATCTCCGCCTGTGGTTCGATTTATAGAATTTGAAAATTACTGATCTCAAGCACAGTACTGTATTATCAATGTGTATATTCCATCTCAAATTAGAATCAATAATAATACCCAAATACTTTGTACGTGTTACCCTTATTATTTCTTGACATTTGCAAGTATTAGAGTTAATACTTAGGTTAGTTTTTTACTGTTTAACTCTTGGAATACTCTATTTAAACCTGTTGTAGTTTTTTCTTTTACAGTTTCCAAAGACTTTCCCGAAAAAAAAAGGCAAGTGTCATCAGCATAGATAACCACTAATCCACCCGTATTTAAGTCACCAATAGTAAAATATAAATAAAATTGGTCCTAACACACTGCCTTGTTGTACTCCACAATCAATTTTTTTTTTACAACTTAATTCCCTATTTACTGAAACTAATTGTGTTCTATTTTCCAGATAGCTAGAAAACCAGCTTAGACTTTCCTCATTTATTCCAAAACCTGGCAAAATATTAATCAATTCCCCATGGTCTACAGTATCGAAAGCCTTAGCCAAGTCCAAAAATATGCTACAACTTTTTCATTACTATCTAATTTTTCATAAATACCTAAATTGTGTTATTGAATATAAAGCATTAATGGTACTCCTGCCCGGTCGGAAGCCAAACTGAAATTGGGATAAAAGTTTATATTTTTCTAAGTAAGAGATTAGTCTAGACTTAACTATTTTTTCAAGAATCTTAGAGAAATTGCAAAGCATAGATATTGGTCTGTAATTAGACATGTTATCTTTACTTCCTGATAGTAGTATAAATTTTCCGATCCTGGGACCACCACCACCACACCACAACCGCATCACCACCACCACCACCTCTCCTCTTCACCACCACCGCCACTGCCACTCCTCTTCACCGCTCAGCCGATACCACCACACCACCACCACCTCTCCTCTTCACCGCCACCGCTACTGCCTCTCCTCTTCACCGCTCAGCTAATACCACTGCCACCACCACCACCACCACCGCCACCGCCACTCACCACTTCACCCGGCCAGGGATGACCCACCCCTGCTACCTCATTTGCTGCCAGCCACAGCAGTAGGTTGGGCTACGTAATACCTATATTATATATATATAAACACATTATATACCTAATCAATACCACTAAACACATTATATACCTAGCCCCCCACCATACATAGTATAACAATTAATAGTTGAGTGTGTAAATATTCAGTCACAGTTTTGATTCAACAGTGTCAAGTCTCATAGTATTGCTATAACAGTGTTAAAATGGCAGGACCAATAAGTGAAATGAAACGGATTGTTCCACGCCGATATAGCTCCTACAACTCGGCGGTTGGCTACATCGACTTGCGGCGTATAGGACGAACGGTTACCCCAAATGAGTACAACTTTAGCGTAAGGCTTTATAAACACGTTTATTCTACGCTTAACTAAAACGGGCGCCCAAGAATAAAATACTGATATGACAATAGCGGCTGTACGATTTACAATGATCGCGCCAGTTTAAAGGTTACAAAATTACATTCATACAAAGATGACCTGGTTAGAAATAACATGCCGCGGGACTGCTTCACCACTTTCCTCCTCCTTCGGACTCTCTATCGTAATGGCAGGAACAGGGCCGGTCTGGATCACTCTCAATGACAATCGTCGATGGCCGGAACAGGGCCGGTCTGGATCACTTTCAGTGACAATCGTCGATGGCCGGAACAGGGCTGGTCTGGATCACTCTCAGTGACAATCGTCGATGGCTGGAACGCCGCACGGGGTGTATGACAATGACACAGTGAGCCAAAAGGAAAACAACACAGGCTCGGGGTGGTGAAGGACAACGAGTTGCGTCCAACTCGACCGCACACAAAAGACAAAAACGACAGACTCCAAGCTCGACCGTATTCGCAAAACGGCGGCGTACAGCGGCGTGAGGTAGGGGTAGGGGAGGCTCTCGAGCTTCGGCGCTGGCAGGACGAACCGGTTTTACGCTTGCGCGGCGCGACGACCGTTCCGTGTTCAAACACGGATATACAAGTATGTTGCACCTCTATCGCCATCAGAACTTATTGATTGCAGTAATTTTACAATCGACTTTGAGAATCGAATATTCTTAAACGCCGGACTCGACCCGAAAGATCAATTTAATATTGTACTGCGAATAATTACACCGTCGTGATATCTAAATATATCTTCAGACTTTTTGAAACGCATTTATTCACTGATGGGTAATATTTTATCACACATTCTCGATGCCGCTGTAAAATATAGAAAAATCATTTTTTTGGAAGATGAATTCGTTTTGTTAACAAGTATGGTATATAAAGGAGAGCATGTGTTGGTCATAGAGTCCAAAAAAACCAGCGGATGTAGAATCATATTAACTCGTAGAGATCTTATGACCAGTGGCGTATCCAGAATTTTTTTTTTTTTGGGGGGGGGGG